TCTTCTTCTTTGTTGAAATCTTCTTGAACCTCTCTTACTTTTCCCCCCAAAATTTGAGCATATTTTTTTGTTGAAGGAAAAAAACTCTCCCCATCTCTCAAATCTTGCACAAGTATGTTTTTTGCTCTTGATTCTAGTCTTTATATATACATATATGATTATTGTGGTTATTTTTTATTTCTTCAACTAAAAAATCCCTTATCATTCTAAAATCAACAAAAAATTACAAATAATATTAGGTATGTTTCTATGTATTCAATTCTGAAATTAAGGTTATAATTATTTTGTTTAATATTTTGTTTTTATTTGTTAACTGTTGAATGAAGAGAAATCATTCATAATATTCTTTTATCTTCTTAGTTTATATTGAAGCCTAGTTTTTCGTTCATCTTGTTATTTACCGTCTCATTTATCGTAGAATAGAATTGTAATGATATATTTTAATTAATCAAAATTTGTTTTGTTTGCATTTTTGCTTATTTATTTTTTATATCTTGAACCCACTTCCTGAAAATCCTGGGTCCGCCACTGCAAACAAAGATGATAGATAGCAGAAGAACACAAAAAACTCACAAAATAGAGAAATTTACAGCCTTCATAGGAGAATTTGCACACAAGATTATCAAGCTTTCTTCTCAGTATGTTGGATGATCTCTCAAAATTATTGTGTTTTTTTTGTCAGAGATTTGGAGTCAAACAATAGGCGAAAGTAAATATAGAGGGATATCCCTCCCAACGGTCATATTTCAACAACTTTTACAAAATTGCCCTGCTTTTACATGCTAATCACAAGAATGATAATTATGTGATGTTTGGTATTGTATTGAAGAGTAAGATATTTTAACAACATAGTTTTTCTAATATTTGACATGGTAACTTTTATGAGTTTTTTGGTGTAGTTCAGTCAAGACATCCAAATTACTCGTTAATGTTACTCATCATATATATGATAAACAATTCATTAAAAATGGTGGATATTTGATATTCGATTTGGTTTTTAAAGTTCAATTTGATGATTCAATATTAAAAATAGCTAACGAATATCTCAATGATAGGAAAAGCAATGTTCACAATGACGTATGTGCTATTCCCCTTTATTAGTGACCAATGTGTATTCATATAACTTAAGAAAAGTAGATAATAAAAATGATCAACTATTTGCTTTAAAATTCCTTTCTTTAAAGTTCCACACACTTATAAATTGTAATGAATCAATTTTTCAACTACTTCAATTTGATATACTATTAAATTTGGATTTGGACCTTGTATGTCGTTGTTCATTTTAATTGTTTCCATTTCATCAAGAGTTTGGGAATTATGCCGCAAGAATTAGACTTTTGTGTAATACATCATGATCAAAACAGAGAAAATTACAATCATCAAGGATGTGTTTGGTATGGAGGAAAACATTTTTCAGAAAATGTTTTTCAAATTTCCCATGTTTGGTTGGTGGATAGAGTTACACGATCCATGTTGCTAGTGGGAAGTATCCCGTGAAAATTAGATAGAGTGTGCAAGTTGGACTGGACACCACAATTATTTTACAAAAAGAATATCAAGCTGTTTGCAATTGCGAATTAGTATGCCAACTTATTATACAAGGTAACTTGATAGAAGGAGGAGACCTCTTCGCAAACGCGTTATCTAAAACTACTAAATAAATGTTTTCACCTCTTAAATTACATGAGCTCAAATCATTCAAAGTATTACCCATTCACTAGTGCTTTTAGGGGTCATTTGGTAGAAAGATTGATAATGCAGAGATTATTTTTTATCAAGTGTTTGGTTCATTATTTCCCATCTAATCTTGTGTGTGGTTTAAAACTCTACAAGAAGCTTCTTTCCAATTATACCCTTGAATTATTATAAGATAATTTATTTCATGTATAGCATTATGACATATTTTCATGTTCATTCCATTGGTGAGCTTTAGTGCATTCTATTGGCCAATATTACTCATCACATTATCCTCTCACATATGACTATTTCTAGAAATGAATTGTTAATAGTCCCCAATATTTGTATCGGATGGTTTTGACATTATTTAAGTGATACTTAAATACTGAGGGTTCGATAAGTATATTTAAGTTTCTAAATTTGATACAAGTTCAGTCATAGTAAAAAAAGGAAAACCAACTCTTTTCTTTTCTTTCTTATACCGAACGTCTACAAAACAAAAACCATTTAAAAGAAAGTACAAAATGTTGAATACATATAAACACTTGCATGTTTGTGACTGGAAATTTTCTTTTTATCCTTTTTCTTCTCTTGAACCCTTCACTTGAAAGAAAACCAACTAGTCTATTTCAATTTCTGATGTACATTTGAAGCCATATGTCAATACAACTAAATGTCAAACTTGCAGAACCAACAAACGTTTTTCACCCCTCCCAACTTTCCAACGACACTTCCTCTTCTATCATGTTAGTATCTTCTTGGCTCTCATGAAGCCACCTTAAGTACAACGTTATATATGGGTGATATTCATCCATTTTTTGTCCGAACTTGAGGCAAAGAACCTGAAATACAAATATATAGAACTTCAAACATTTTCTTTGTTAATATATAGTCATAGATAATGCTACATAATTCAAACAGACAACATTTACTTAAAAATTTAAACAAGACTAGTCATAGGAGGCCACATTAATAAACTTAACAAAAAACACAAGCAAGGGAAGAATTTGGCCAATTTCATGCTGAATAATAACAGACATTTGCTTCCTCTTGTTGCTGAAGTCCAAAGGATTAAAATTTTGCTTCTTTGATCGAGGAAAGTTGGACCTAGTGTGAAGAGTTGGAATATTCTACTTACATTGTTGCTTCCTCCATGGCCCATCACCGAAATGTAAACTAATTCAGCCTCAATTTAAAGGATGAGAAAACCTGGTAGCAAGGTTACAAGTCAAGTTATAGGACAAACTTTAACAAGTTAAGAACAAGATATCATGAGTTAAAGCCAAAATAGACATGGATAGCATTCAAGTTATGCGAGAACAGAAATCAACCTTACGAGATTAAGCTAACATGGATGAGAATCTATAACAATGAATCAAAAACGAAAGAGAAGACAGCCAAAACTACGAATAAACCATATGAAGAAACAAACTGTACAACCAGTGTACTCAAAATCACAACCAAACGAACATTTGTTCATTGTGAGCAAAATAAGACGGATATATCAAGTCAACGAATTTAACGACTGACATCTAATATATCATATAGATCACCAGAAAGAAAGGCTAAGCAGCTCATTCGAATAATAACACTTAAACACTGACTATATATCAAAGGTAAACAACCAATCTAAATGCATGATTCCTCCAATAAAGAAAGCAACAACTAACTTCTAGGCTTATCATTCACTTAAACCACAAAACCATTCAACCCAAGCGGCTCCTTATACGAGTTTATAACGACATGATAGAAAGCTGAAGGCAGATCAATCAGAAGAGAGGAGCAGGTAACGATTTTGAATTGTGTGTTTGACATTATCTTATTAATTTAACGTGCAGACTTGGAAACATTTCAGGGAGAAAAGGGCATATCGGATAATAGAAGATGCGAATGAAGTGCTAAGGGTGGTTCAAATTGTGCTGCTATGTACTCAAGAGTCACCTATTATGCGTCCAGATATTTCAACAATTATTAAACTACTTACACAAGAAAACTTATATAGAAGTGCATGTTCCTTCAAAGCCTCCTTTCATTGATATGGTTCCGAACAACATGGTTCTAGCTCCGATCAGAAAATTTTGGAGATTATTATGAAGCCATCCGCCTGTAAAATTTGTTAAATGTAAAAGGTTCAAGCAAGGGATGCGGATAGAAAATACTAAAAGATCACCATGAATATTCCCACAAAATTGAGTGGAGTTAACGTACATTCAATCTGGAAGGCAGGGCTTGTCTAGTGCAACTTACAATTCAAGTTTAGAAACTTGAAATTTACACAAGTCATCTATTTTCTTGATTTGATACTATAAACATCACAAACTAAAAATGTAAAGACTACAAAGTTACGTATACATAAAAGGCTTGGGCAGAAGAGGGGGGGGGGGGGGCAGTTACATATCTAGGACCCTTGACACAAATAGATGCGTCAGAAGTTCCATATACTGGATTACAAAGGAAATAACAACAGACGGGGAGCGAATTTCCACTACTCTCCTCTGGATATATAATTATTAATAATGCGCACAGATGGCGTAATGGCGTAATGGGTGTCTAGGGTTCCAGCTTCAGTGAAACCACTCTACACTGCCTGTTACGATTGGCTGTCTTCTTAAACACTACGGAGATACAAGACGGGGACCACTATGGTCGCCGGACTCTTTGCACAGCCCTTCAAGTAAGCCACTGAAGACATGAATTGAGTTAATATAGATAACAGGAACTATAGGACATTAGGATATAGTAAAAGAATAGCAGTAACTTCATTCCTAAATAGCAACAACAGATTCACTGAAGTATCTCAATAGCTTTCCGTCATAATGGCTGCCCGGGGAAGGGCCAGACCACAACAATATAGTACATAGCCTTACCCAGCACTTCTGCAAGGTTGTTTCCACATCTCGAACATGTGACCTCGTGGTCACATGGTAGCAACTTTACCAATTATCTCAAAAAATAAAGTATCTCACTAGCAACAATTTACAAATCTGTTTAGATTTACTAAGGTAGAGAGTTTTAGAGAATGTCAACAGTGCTTGACGATCAAGACTAGCTCACAAAATATGTCTGCAAAATCCAAGAAATTCAAAACGGAAAAACATATAACTAACTAGGTAGAGGAAGCGCGATGGAACCATCACACCTATTGGAAAGTGAATAAGTCCGAACTTCATGTTTTGCAATAGGGTTTTTTCACATGACAAAGAAAACACGAGTGAGTCACCAATCAAAGCTGATTTAAAACAACATAACAAAACGTAATCATATTGCTGGAAAGATGGACAAAGAAAGTTGTCAAACCTTAGAGATATGGTTTCATCTGTGAGTCAAGAGAGAGATTATAGGAACCTTTTATCCGCCTCAGCTCCTTACACAACGTAATGAAGTCTCCCCATTTCATGTGGCACCTTCTTATAAACCGGAGAATCTGTAACCTGGACACCCCCTCCAAATAACACCATTTTCTTTGAAAAATTGATGATAGCTACCAAGCTTTATTTCTCTTCTAACCATAAACCTACATCCTGGAAAAACAAGAGCAGTAACAGAATGTCAGTCATTGTTGCTTTCCCTCGTGGACGTATTTTATTCGTCAACCTCGTGTTTTTTCGTCTCCCTCAAGTAAGTAACACCACAATCAAATGGATAGAGGTCAGAGCACACATGATTATAATAATTTAGGCTATTACAAATTACAACTATCCCACTTAAGAATATCATGCTCCATCTTGCACCCAAGGGTCTGGCCTAAAGGACAATGAAATGGGTGATAACCATGAGGTCTCGGGTTCAAAAGACAACCACTAGGTGATTTTTTGTCTATACACACTATAGATAAATTGTTATCCTACGTAGTGGTAGGACAGAAAAGCATATATGTCTGTCGTAGCTCTACTTCAGATGATGGCAATTTTCAAGATTCAAAAATACATATAAACAGTAATTGTATGTTTACAACCTTACACCTCTCAACTTATTGTTTCCATCTAACCTTGCATGATGCCTAATCCTCAAAAATCGACACGTCATCTAAAGCTCATGGATGACCAAGCACTACCAAATATAGTAACTGCATAGCAAACCAACTATATAGTTGTCCAGAAGAGACACAAAGTCATCTTAAAAGTACCAGTTTCAAAACAAAAAAAGCGACAGTGATCTAAAAGTGTTTAAACGCTTATAGGTGGAGTCAACAAAATAAACAATCAATTTTTTACTTCTATTTTAGAGTGAAAAAATTCTCAAGTATGACACCTTTTTGCAAAGACAAGAAAGTTTGTCAAGCAGTTCTTTGCTAAACAAAACGAAACAAAAGAAGAGTGCCAAAAGAAAAAACCTTTTCTACGGATAAAAGCTCACACATGCCGCAAATAGACTTCGGTTGATATATTGCTTTCAAGACCAGAGGCAAATATATGATTTGATTTAAGGACCCAACAATAGATCATGAGTTTCAGACCACGGAACTGCTGACAGACAGTTTGACTCTGAGGAAGGTGGAAAGGGGCAAAAAACGGAGTGCTAAGCTTGTGCATGAACAATGCTTAACCCCCAACATCCACCCACCCCAAAACTAGAGGGAAAAAAAACTCATTTTATGATTTAGTTAAGTCTTGCGGGAGAAAACTCATCACTTCATCTCTCCAATATGGCCCTCTTATGTCAAATTCAGTGCAAGTGTTCTTTTTCAATTTCTCCATCATAACCACAAATTTTCGTCTCTTCCTCCCTTTATTAGAACTAATTGATCAATACTAAGTTTCTTGGTCTTATTCTGGTGCAACTGTCAGATGGATTTGCTACGAAAAGTTGTGACACAAACATTGAAGTAGCATGTAGGATACCAAATTCGCCACCACAACAACAACATAAAGATGGAACACGCCATTTACTAAAAGTCAGGTAAAAGGCTGTGGTAAAGATGCCTTAAAGTGAAACTAACTCAAACTTCCCACACCTCGGAGATGCTAAGAATTCCCAATGAAATAGCTGTGTTTGTAAAATATTTCTTTTTTTCTAGAGAACGAATTTCAATGAATGGAACTTGCACTTTTGTCAAGTCGCACAAGTAAAGGCATTTTTTTCGCTCAAGAAGGAAATGCCAAAAAACTCTCAACAAGTTTCGGCAGAAGCAAAGTAAATAGTGTGCTACTCTTGAGACAAACACAAGGTTAAGGAATGACGAAGGCTCACTTCTTGCAGATCCCAAACCTTTTCAAGCTCTTGCTGGAAGTCCTCTACATTTGACCATTACAAGACTCGATATTACCTTCTCTGTTAGGATATGTCAGCAGATTCATGCAATCACTAAAAAATCCTCACCTGGAAGCTGCAAAGAGGATTCAGACTATATTTTACTCTTGGCGAAATAGGTATTTCTTGGTGCAACAAAAAGCAAGACTCAATTTATTATCTATTACGGAGGTGGAATATAAAACATCAATTGTTACAGCTCAAGAATCAAGAACGTGTATGGCTCCAAAGACTTCCCAGAGGCTAGCATTTATCTATATCAAAAAGAAAAGGAATTTTTTGGAGACAATCAAAGTGGCATAAAGCTTGCAAATAATCCCATATTCCTTACAAGAACTAAGCATTGAGGTGGAATATCATTTCATCCAACAAAAATTCTTGATGGAACTATAAACACTTTAGAAGTGTGATGTCAGGAAAATATTGATGATACGTTCACCAAGTTACTTTGTTTGGGTTCTTCATCATCAAGCTGGGAGTAATTTTCGAAATATCACTTTAAGGCGGAGTGTGAAAAAATTAAAGTAGATCTTTTGGAATATCATGGATTTTTTAATAAAGTTTCTAGAATGACCTAGGGTAATATCTTGAAGAAATATCTACATCTTCTAGAATCTTGCAAGAAGATAAGGTTAAGTAGATCTTCTTGTAGATATATCTAGATCTAGAACCATCCCAAGACAAGTGTAGGAGTGGTCTTGTGCTTTTGTAACTAAACCAATTTCCAAAAAGCTTTCTAGCATAACCATGATTTTCTATCTAAAATCATCTTTCTCTTTCGAAGTGGCCTCTTTAGTGGAGTCCTCCAACCTTAATTATCGATCTTGGGATAGTAGAAAGTCTCTAATTTATTATTTGATGTAAAGGATAGAAAAAGTCTTTCTTGGCGAGCTTGAACCATCTTGGAATTGAGAATGTGTCAACTCTCTAGAGCAACTTTGTTTGTGGTTTCCTTTTAAATTCCTCTTACAGTGTCCAAAGCTTCACGACATAGATAAACTAATTAGGTATCCTATGGAATGATCACACAAGGGGGAAGACCAAAAGAGTGTGCCAGCACAAAGCTAACACTTTTATCGACATTTCACCATGAGCGTGTCAAATTTTGCTTAATGTGGTTTACTTGTTTAGACCTATCTTTGTCCATTTTTACAGAATAAAATTATTGAGCAATTCCAAATTCGAAGCAAAATCAGACCCTCAAACAAAAAATAAAAAGTACAGTACTTATCTTAGCCAACATGAGATTTTCTATGAAGACCCCAAAGAGAAACTTGGATAGAATCGTTGGATGTAATCCCAGCACCATCATTTTCTATTTTGATGCCAAATTTTGTGATTTCTTCTGCTTTTTGGGAAATCATAATCAGCATAATCTAGAACCAAGCTTATTTGCTACATTTATCTTAATTACATATATAATCTGTGAAACCAGATACAACTACACACGCTTTGTCTTTTCTTTCTCTTTGGGTAACAGTGGTGTCCGACTTAGATGTGCACACCTCTCAGCTATTCCACCGGCTAGCTGCTACCTCCTAGCCATGTATTGGAAACTCTGTTCATCAAGGTTTTTTGAGAATGGTCCCAATATTATAAATCAAACCAAAACTCTCTGTTCATCAAGGCTTAGACAGCTGGGAATAAATCACTCAATATTTTCCATATTTACTGGGATTTGAGTCTCCAAAAAGTGCACACTTTTCACACTTCTCAGCGGTTTCTAAAGACATTTCTCTTTCTATTGCAGATAAGCCTAATGATAAGGGAAGGGGGTTTCAGAGTTGAAATAGGTACCTATTTAGTCACTGGTGTGGCACCAAATTATATAGAGCTGGTATTAGGATGACAAAAAAATAATTCTCAGCAGGCAAATTATTTACTTTTACAGCAGGCATTTATAAGTATATTCTTGTTTTCACCTGATAATTTGTTATGTGAAATATCCATTTCCTTGAGATTTATCAATTTTCCAAATTCAGCTGGCAAGGAACCGGTCAACGAATTGTTCAGACTAAAAAGGTTTAGCACTGATAAACTGATGCACTGCCCGAACTCCGGAGGTATGTTTCCTTCTAATTCATTGTCCTCAATGTGCAAAGAAGACAAAGATGTTAAGTTACCAATAGAAGATGTAATCTTTCCTGATAACTTGTTTCCATTCAACGTCAGTCCTTGCAGGCGTCGAAGCTTACCTAAAGACTCAGGAACAATACCTCTCAACTAGTTTTTATATTTTTTTGAGACAGACATCTCGAGTAGTGTTTATCCAGTGATAGAAGGGTCAAATTAACAAAATTTTCTAGTCCTGTAGGAAGAAAACCAACCATCATATAACCAAGAGCAAATATTTCTAGCCTCGTGGAAAGGTTGATTGTTTTAGGCAATCCGCCTACCAAAATGATGTCCTCAAAGCTAAGAACTTGCAAACTTGTGCAGTTAACTAGGAAATCAAGAAACCTCAAGTCCTCACTTGTGTTTCTTCCAAGACAATAGATCTCAAAGTTGATCCTGTACAACTCTTTCAATTGTCCTAAACTCGTAGGGACATTTCCGTTGAGTTAATTTTGAGACATTTCAAGTACACCAAGTTTTGATGCATTTGATAATGAAACAGGAATTGTTCCGGTGATATCATTCACATCACCTGCAAACATCTCAAGATTTGGAAGAGCTTAAGGCCTATATAGAAGCACTCCATACAACAAGTTTTGACTTTTGATTAACAGAGAAATAGTAAACAGATGATACCATACAGAGAAATAGTAAAAGAGATTGAGGAATTGTATCATACAGAGAAATAGTAAAAGAGATTGAGGAATTGTACCATACAGATTTCGATGAACTTGGAAGATTTGCAAGTTTGACAAACGTCCAATATCTCGAGGTATTGGTCCTTGTAGATTGTTTATTGCAAGGGAAAGACCTCAAAGAGACCAAAAGTTATATCCAAGATGGGGTACAACCTGTGAGATTGTTGCTTCCAAGGCCTAAATAATTTACCTTTGAAAATCAAATGAACTGATCAGGTAATATTCTAGAGCAAGTGATCTAATATATTTACTTCCAAATAAGATTGAGATGTTGTAGCTGTAAGAGGTTGTCAATTCACCATGGAAGCTATTATTACTAAGATTTATCAATGTTAAGAACGTGAACTGTCAAATTGCAGTAATGGAGAATTGTTCCAAAAAGACATGACTTTGATTGAATTGTTCCAACGGGCCGACCCCGCCCCATCAAGGCACACCCT